CTGCATCATTGCTGTTCATAAGCGCAGCGCTGCTTTGTTTACAGCGGTAACCCAGGAAACGCTGCATCATTGCTGTTCATAAGCGCAGCGCTGCTTTGTTTACAGCGGTGACCAAGGAAGCGCTTTAAGCGCCACCTGCTGGCAGAGAGTGCATCTGCGTCTCGTTCAGCTCGTCGCTGTTTCATGCAGATATTTTGTATGTATAGTTTCACAAAACTGAAGTCAAACCATTCCGTTTCTGCTTCAAATTTCGAAACTATACAGTCTAATTTAGATTAAAAACTGCTCGTGTTGCACGCATGCAGCATCTGTGTTTGGATCGTGATTAAAATGCAGTGGTAGCCTCTGATATTAAATGTTAAGAGCACAAGACAAAGCCTTAGTTTGTTTATAAGATGATATTTATTTTATTTGCGCTACTTATTTATTTGATTTGGGGCTTGTTTTAAAATGTCAATGTAGTTTTGTTATTTACATTTACATTATATTGTGTTATTTAGCAGACGCTTTTATCCAAAGCGACTAACAAACGAGGACAATAGAAGCGATCAAAATCAACAAAAGAGCAGTAATATGCAAGTGCTATATTAGTATATTATTATAGTGTTATATTTAAATTTCACAAAGAAACGTGCAGCATTTTGTCCAAGCAATAATAAAAGGACACGTTTAATTTATAATTGGTCTTAAATCTAATTTTGTTTTAAAAAAAATTATAATAATCGTGAATCGAATCGTGAGTTGAGTGAATCGTTACATCCCTAGCAAATATCTCATTTTGACATGTGTACTTATTACTTAGTAACATTGACATATTTGTAGCAATAGCCAAAAATACAGTGTGTGGGTCAAAATTATAGATTTCTCTTTTATGCCAAAAATCATTAAGATATTAAGATCATGCGCCATGAAGACATTTAGTAAATCTGCTACCGTAAATATATCAAAACTTAATGTTTGATTAGTAATATGCATTGCTAAGAGCTTAATTTGAACAACTTTAAAGATGATTTTCTCAATATTTAGATTTTTTTGCTCCCTCAGATTCCAGTTTTTCTAATAGTTGTATCTCAGCCAAATATTGTCCGATCCTAACAAACCATACATCAATGGAAAGCTTATTTATTCAGCAATTTCGACACTTGTGGCTGGTTTTGTGGTCTGGGGTCACATATTAAGCGACTATACTTCATGCTGAGGCTTCCTAAAATGACTTTTAATATGTTAAATAGCATGCATGCAACACAGACATAATGAGTAACTGCTAAATCAACCTCTGATATGAGCTTCGTAAAGACAACCACTAGGCAAACATGTGAGTTTGGATATTTAATAACAGAATCTGTTCATGTTTACTGATAATTCAATAAAAGGAGTCATGCAAATCAGATGCTAACGTGCTAATCTCTCCTCTCACGCGTTTAATTCACTATTTCATTCAAAATAGCAACTAAAACCGGTTCATCTCCACTAATATATACACATAGCAGTCACCTAAATGAGCCTCAGCGTGCGCTATGTTTGTGTTTTACAACAGAATCGTATTAGCATACTAGCGGTTAGCTCCTTTGTTAGAACGACTGCTCAAAGCAAACTAACAAAGACCAAGCAAAATAAAACGAGCTCGGGCTTTTTTATCGAGCGCGAATGTGGCTAAAGATGAAATGTAAGTGAAATTAATAGTTTGATTTACCTCTGTAATTTGCAGCGCGTGATAAAAACCGAGGGAAAACAAGCGCACACGCGTCTTCTTCACCTCCCGGATCAGGAAGTGACGCACACTTCCGCCCCCTTCAGGCTGAGACGAGCAACTGCAGCGAACAAAACACACACACACACACACACACACACACACACACAAACAGATGGCTGGATACTATTGGGTTATTTCTTCTTCTTCTTCTTCTTCTTCTTCTTCTTTCCAGTTTAACGGTGGTTGGCATCCAGCTTATTGGTGCATTACCGCCCCCTTTTGCTCCGGAGTGTGGATCAGATAATAGGTGATTCCCTTTTCCTACTAAAACTCACACATCACTCACATTAATATCCACACACACATCATGCATCATGCATCAAATCCTGCCTAAAACCCCTGCTTCCCTTAAAAAAGTAGGCTAATCTATATTCTACTCTGTGCATTATTTACTGTGCTTAGTATGTGATCTCCTGCGCCCCAATCTCCCTTATTCTTCATTACCTGCCTCTGTGTTTCATGTCTCTTACAAGTCATGATTACGTAATTTACTCTATAGCACGGAATGCCACGGAATTCGTATTACGAATAAATCAAAAGTAGGTCTGCCACTTAAAGGGTTAGTTCACCCAAAAATGAAAATTAGGCTGTGTTTTACTCACCCCCGAGGCATCCTAGGTGTATGTGACTTTCTTCTTCTAGTTATGTTAAAAATCGTCCTGGCTATTCCAAGCTCTGTCGTTGCAGTCAGCAGGTGTTGCATGCATCAGTCCAAAAGAAGTGAAATAAAAAGCGCCCATCCATAAAAAACAAAGTGTCTCACACGGCTCCAGCGGGTGAACAAAGGCCTCCTGTAGCGACTCGATGCGTTTTTGTAAGAAAAATATCCATATTCAAAACGTAATAATCACTTTAATGTCGCTTGCGCTCGCTGTTGTACACAGAAGCCGCTCCGGGCGGATGACGTATGAGGTCAGCGTGCAATGATAGAGCTTGGCATAGCCAGGACAATTGTTAATAGTGGTCGACCGATATATCGGCCGATAATTTGGCATTTTTCAAATATCGGCTTCTGCCGATAAGTTTTTCTTCTTGGCCGATGTGTTCGATAATTTCTCAGAATTTGATATAAATGCCTCCATTTCTCCTCTCTTTCCCAGCTCTCTTGCCACCTTTTATTGATTTTCTCCCATACTATGCATTTAACCTCTGCTTTACTTACATTAACCTGCATTTCTTTTGTTAGTGCCCTTTCTCATTACCCCTAATCCCAACATGTGCTGGGACCCACATACTGTATATCTTACCTGATATCCCTTATGAACTATTCTTGTGTTTAATTGAAACATATAGGATATCTTGCCGAGCTTTTGAATGGAATGACCTTAAACTCACTAAAACTGATAAAGAGTCAAAACCTTTCCCTGCCCTTCCCTTTCCACCCATTGCAAAGCAATTAAAATTGCTATCATCTCTACTCTATATATACCCCTAATGTATTAGATGTTCTTTTACTAATTTCTATTTCTTTTCCCGGAATTGCCTTCCCAAACCCTGTTTTTCCTGTCTCTGGTTTTTTAGCACCATCTGTATAAATTTGTATGCATTCACTATAATTACCTCCGACTCGATTTTTAAATACATTTTTCAAATGAATTTCTTCCCTTGCTTTCTTTTTCTCCTTAAGCACAAACCAGTCTACTTCAGGCCATGCGGGGCAATCTCTGGAAAAACTACCGTAGGGCTTATTATTAAGGATAGTATTGTTCAGTTTGGGTTGAGTTAGTTTAATTGCTTCATGTGTTGTATGGATTTATAAAAAAATACTTATTTGTATCTTTTATATTACGCTCGGTATAGGAAATTTGGTAGATAAAAAGTGTTCATTTGTTGGACTTACATTTCTGTAACAATAAAACAACTCAAGGTTGTTCTTAGTTATAACTGGGGTCAAGCGATTAGTCAACAGAAGAGACAGACGGCTGCACGTGAGTGTCCTGCGTAATACTTGGTTATAGATCTGCTGTTGGAATTATTACTTGCTGCTAAGAAGGAATATTTCGTTTTCTGCCTATTTCTACGTTATATGTTTGTTTGCGTTTGTATTTTTGATTGCACTTTCTGGTAATTATAATAACTGCCCTCGGCTAAGAAGGAGCGCGTGTAATTTAATTGCTCCCTTCCTGCGTTGAAGTGTATAAGTCAGGGGGCTACAAAAAAGCATAAAAATACTTTAAATGACAAGAGACAAAAGATCCTGAAGTACATTACTGATAACAAAAATGAGAAGAAATTTAATTAGGCTATTAAAAAAATTAAATGTAATATGCAAAGACTTCAGGAGATTACCTTTTACCGTAAATTACATGATTATTCTTCGTTTTTAGCTCCAAAAACCATAAATCTGAGAGAATTTGCCAGTATTTCTACAGTAAAAGTACATATAGTTACATAAATACATAAAAGTTTTATTAAATAGTGAATAAATAAAAATGTAAAAATAGTAAATAAATAAATGTGTAAAGAAATTCTAAATAAATACAGCACTATAATGAGTAGAAAAAACTTAATGAAAACGAAATATTTTCCAAATAATATTTTTGTATAACATTAACGTTAATAATAGTAATTTTTCACAGTATTAATTGAGTCATATTTTATTTATTTTAGGACGGGGTCCTAAATGTACTGGAGAAGTGCTATTATTTAATTATGTTTAAATATTATTGCTACCCAGTACAGTGTAGCTTCATATTATTACTGCACAGTGTTTTTACGTGTTTCTTTTTACTAATTGATTGCAATAGTAATATTGGCTTATTCAATTATAAATGCTTTGTTAGAAGCCTCAAGTACGTTTTAAGGATGTTATTACATTTTTCTTTAATTTCATCCGTGTATTTGCTTTCACTCTAATCTAAGATGTACTGCGATAATAAAATAATGAACAAATAAAAGCTGTGTCTCATACTTCACCATAAAGAGAAATATGACACTGTCTCTTTAAATGTTCAATCCGTCCGTTTCAAAACTACGAACAGACTTTTCAGGCGTCCGCCAATCGAATTCAAGCACTTGTCCATTGCTGGGCTCTCATTGGATAGCACAACATTCATCATCCCCAAATAGGCGGGGCTTAGTGGCCTGTACATTTTAAGCTAGGGTGGGTCTTAAAGACCATGCTCATATTTTAACTCTTCACTGTTTGTTTTTAAATAACATATGTTAAGTTTATACTCCTAAAGGTAAAAAGTCCCCAACAATATACACAAAACGCCCTCAATGAATGACTCTTGTTCTGGGCCACCAGGCGCCCACAACGAGATCCTTTGTGTCTCATCGGAAAACATTAAGTATGGCAAGCCCTAATAACATTTAATTCTTAAAATGTACTAATATCTATTTTAATGGTACTAGTATTTATTTTGTTAGCTACTTGTATCTATTCCATTGAACACTAGTACTTAATCATTATAGCTACTAGTGCTTATTTTTTAGCTACTAGTTCTTCTAAGCACTAGTATCTGATGAATACGTATTAGTACTATTTAAAAAGATACTGAATCTTCGTCTATGGTTTTTATACGATCTCGGAACAGTTTGATCAATTTGTAGACATTTTTAATGAGACATCTGTGTAATTAAAAGGATGCGTAGTAGTTAATAGTCTCTACTGGCCTGTTTAGACAAGCTCTCCATAAAACAAACAAAACAAGCCCTTGCAAATTAATTATTATTATTTTAAAGACGCATATTATACAGACACTTCATTTTAAATGGTATTTTATTATTTGATTGCATTTAATATATTATACTTTATTTTATTTTATTTATCCTTTATTTTTCCAGGAAGGTCCCATTGAGATAAACGAAATCTCTTCTTCCAGGGAGTCCTGGCCAAGATGACCGTACAAAAAATGTCACATAAAATTTCACAAACATACACCTCACAAGACAAAATGACATATTACCAAAGTAAAAACAATAATCATAAATCAGTAAATTAATTAAAACAACAACATGACTCATTTGCTGCATCAAACACTGCACTAAATTTTTTTAAATATTCAAAGAAAGAATTGTTTCTAATGGAGTTACAGTTTGAAATTCATTCCACAACCACGGAGCATAGTAAGAGAAAGCTGATTTTCCATGCTCTGAATGTATCCTGGGTATTTCTAGTTGAATCCCATTTGATGATCTGGTGATATAATTCTTTCTACGTAGGCATTAACTAGAGATGTAATTTGGAATTTGCATTGGGTTTGTAAAACCTGTTTTTATGCATGTTTTAGCCTGAGTTTTTGTTGCAGTTACAGTTTTGACCACCAGAGTGTGGTGTTTCGAGTGCTTCGAAACAGTGAATCGGTTGAATTGATTCGAAGCTTCGAAATGGTTAGTTTCTCCCATCACTAGTACCTAACGGAATAAATACTAGTAGTAGCTAAAAAATAAGGACTAGTAGCAAGAAAATACAGTATTGACCCGAATATAAGACAATGTTTTTTTCTTGGAAATGCGTCTGAAAAAACGCGGTCGTCTTATATTCAGGGTCTAGACTTTGACATGTCAATAATACACCCACAACACTAGGTGGCGCCAAATACGCATAAAACGAGTGTGCCGTGAAATACGTAATGTAATGCATGTTGTAAAGATCACGAGTAAAAGCTAAAGAGAAAGAAAAGCTTACAGCTGCATGAGTCGTGACTGTCACGTTAACCTGATGCGACCAAACTCTTTGTGATTTTAAAACGTAAGACAGAACCCAGATTTGAAGACTACAGTAAGATCGGGCCAATACGGTAGGCACTAGTACGTTTTATAGATTAAATGCTAAACCGGCTTGCCATATTTGAACCGCCCAATGGCGCCGTGCCGCACGCAGAGGGGGCGGAGTCTCGCAGATCCCGCCCACCGTCGGGTAATCGTCGGTTCGACTGAACCCAACTGCAGTGCAGAGTCGGAATGGGGGGCTTGGCCCCGGTCCAGCACGGTCCAAATTAGCTCTCCGTTGAATTACATGCAGTCAGCCAGTGGAAGCAGCTGAGATCCTGACGCCCCAGTCCCGCAGCCTTGTATGGGGGGTCCGAGCCCCGCAAGCCTGCCGCTCGGGTCCGCTTTCGTCCACGAACGCCTTTTCCAGCAGCAACTTTACAGCGAAAGGACAAGAACAAAGACTTTATGTGTAAGTAAACCTTCACACATTCGCCGAAAGTTAAAAAAAACCCCACGTTGACGTTAGTTGAGTCGACACTACTTTAACGCTAGTCTTCTGAAGATAATGCGTGAATTGTGTTTTTCGTAATTCAAAACCGCTTCCAGCACACAAACAGCCTGACAGATGGGAATACAGTCATAAAACGGGAATAGCGAAAGTGCCTCTGTAGATGTGCTGATGTATCAGCGCCTTCTTTGTTCTGTCTGCTGCTGAACAGGAAAGTCTATACTTCACCTAACGTTACTAGATTCAGAAACCTGCTGAAGACGGTAAGAGAGCAGCAGCCCACTGCAAGAACTGAATGTACTATTTTACCCAGACACAGAGTGACTATTCTCCCCAGTCTGCCACCTACACACACACATACACACACACACACTCTCTCTCTAACACACACACACACTCTCTCTCTAACACACACACACACTCTCTCTCTAACACACACACACACTCTCTCTCTAACACACACACACACTCTCTCTCTAACACACACACACACTCTCTCTCTAACACACACACACACTCTCTCTCTAACACACACACACACTCTCTCTCTAACACACACACACACTCTCTCTCTAACACACACACACACTCTCTCTCTAACACACACACACACTCTCTCTCTAACACACACACACACTCTCTCTCTAACACACACACACACTCTCTCTCTAACACACACACACACTCTCTCTCTAACACACACACACACTCTCTCTCTAACACACACACACACTCTCTCTCTAACACACACACACACTCTCTCTCTAACACACACACACACTCTCTCTCTAACACACACACACACTCTCTCTCTAACACACACACACACTCTCTCTCTAACACACACACACACTCTCTCTCTAACACACACACACACTCTCTCTCTAACACACACACACACTCTCTCTCTAACACACACACACACTCTCTCTCTAACACACACACACACTCTCTCTCTAACACACACACACACTCTCTCTCTAACACACACACACACTCTCTCTCTAACACACACACACACTCTCTCTCTAACACACACACACACTCTCTCTCTAACACACACACACACTCTCTCTCTAACACACACACACACACACACACACACACTCTCTCTCTCTCACACACACTCTCTCTCTCACACACACACACACACACAATAATCCAGCTTTAAAGCATTATCTGGGTTATTGATGTGACTGTAGGAAACTTGCATCTGAACTAAAGTGTGGGGTTTAACCTGTTTCAGTATCATCAGCATGTTGGGGGGGTTGGAAAAGCCAGATAGCATTTGCATTTGCAGCCTCTCCATGTCAGTCTGATTTCTCAGTTCATGTTAGGGCAAGGTGTCTTTTTTCCTCAATTTTTTTGTCACTCGCATTAAAGCCATTAATGACACAGTCTTGTTTAATCTGATTTTTAAATACTTTTTACTTCAAATCAGAGTTTGCAATGATGTGATTCACCTCGTAGTTGGTTGGTTTGGTTCATGGCTTGTTTACTCTTTAACAAAGACTTTTTTTTTTTAATTACCAGATGTAAAATAAATGGGAAAATAAAATCTTTTATATTAATAAAGGATCTGCATCTTGGGTGCAGGCTGCTTTACTTCAATCAGACCAATATGTTGCTTCAAACCTGTATGCTTTTTTTGTTTTTTGTTTTTTTGAGCGACATGAAGGTGAGTAAATGATGACGAGAATAATATTAATAATAATAACTGATGATATAAAAAATGTCTCTTTGTCCTGCAGGTTCTTTCTTCAAAATGACACCAACAGGAGCAATGGGGGATCCCATTAGGTAGGTTTAGTCCCGCAGTAATCGCAGTGTTCTGATGATATCCCAGCATCCCGAGCGCACGGTGACTTCCCTCTATTGTGCGTTCACTTCCTCAGAGCTCACAGCGGTGTTCCTGAACCTGGTGGCGCGGACACATACACCACACACACACCCCACACACAGACACATACACCACACACACACCACACACACAGACACATACACCACACACACACCCCACACACACACACACCACACCACACACACCCCACACACACCCCACACACACCACACTTTTGTGCAATTTAGTAGAAAGCCAGAAAAAGTATATTCTTGTAAAACATACTCAGATAATCTTTAAATTTTTTGTAATGCAGTGCATGCTCAAATATCAGTGAATCCTAAAATTGTGATTTATAGATCTGGAAAATGCACGACAATGTCTAAAATTGTATAAAAGTCATGGAAAGTGAATATGATTTCTGTTTTTGAGTTATGCACTGCTCTCAATTATTTAATCGTCTAGAAATTGTTCCATAACATGATTTTTGAAAGCTCATCAGTGACCATTTGAAAATGATTTGCACAGTTCATCCTGCGTGGTTTCAAATCTGTTCGCTTCCCCATCTGTTGGCTTTAACGATCTCTTCGCACAAAAAGGTCTTTCATTTAACGAACATGTGCACACTATGATCATATAACTCTGGTGCTTTTAGCCACATTTTGGCAGAATTAGAAGGTGTCCAGTTCTACGGAAATGGGCTGCAGGATTAAACCAGATCTACTTCAATCTGTCTCTGACTGAGAGGATACTAGAGAACACGCTCCTGTACTCTTTATTTAGAGGATGACATTTGCAAAACCACATATACAGCAGTCCCACAAATTATTCAGACACTTATGTCACTTAAAAAATGTCTACATGTCACACACACACACTTTATATATATGTATCTCTCTCTCTCTCTCTCTCTCTCTCTCTCTCTCTCTATATATATATATATATATATGCACACACTGCTGTTCAAAAATTTGGGATCAATATGATTTTTAATGAAGTTTCTTGATTTGATTAAAAATGCAGAAAATAACTGAAATATTGTGAAATATTATTGCAATTTAAAATAAGAGTATTCTATTTTAAAATACTTTAAACTGTAATTTATTTCTGTGATCAAAGCTGTATTTTCAGCATCATTCCTCCAGTCTTCAGTGTCACATGATCTTCAGAAATCAGTATAATATGCTGATTTATTATCAATGCTGGAAACCGTTTTTGCTGCTTAATATTTCTTTGGAACCTGCGATTATTTGATGAATAAAAAGTAAAAAGAAGAACAGACCCTTTTTGTCTAAATGGTTCCATAAAGAACCTTTAACACCTGAAGAACCTTTCTGTTTCACAAAAGGTTCTTTGTGGTGAAAGAAGGTTCTTCAGATTATAAAAAGGTAAGAAAGAGATGGTTCTTTAAAGAACCTTTGACTGAATGCTTCTTTGTGGAACCAAAAATGGTTCTTCTATGGCATCGCTTGAAGAACCTTTTGAAGCACCTTTATTTTTAAGAGTGTACCATTCAAAAGTTTGGGGTCAGTATTTATAAACTCAAAAAAGATCAGAATTGTGTGATAAAAAGTCTCAATTTATTTATTTTTTTACTCCATTGCAGAAGCAGGCTTCCATAATGATCGCACAGCTCTATCCACCTCATTTTTAACGTAAGAGCGGCGTTGCCGTTTGATACTTGAATGTGCGAGGCTTCCGGCGTCCTTCAACTCGACTTGCATTAAACAACAAAATATGAGGAAAACAGCAGATTTTAAGTTTAATGAAATGCATACATTTTAAGTGTCCAAATAATATTTGGTGCAGTTATTGTTAGGGTTCATGCAATCGTTTTATCGTCCTCTAGGCTGCAGAAACTTGCACAGGATTTCACTACAATGGCACTGAAGTTTCTCTTTGTGTTCTGCAGCAATATGCTACTCAATGAATTCGTTTGGGAATGCAAACAAGATTATCTGAGCGTAGTGCTCTGTAAAACTTCCTGTTTCCTGAGCGCTGCAGGACAACAGCCTTGTGCAATAGGCTTCATGTAAACAGGGTACCGGCCTTCCCTGCAAACAGCACTGTTATCCAATTATTACAGACGACTGTCATTGCTCTTCTGGACAGCTGCAGCTCTGGTTTTCTGTTTGGCTGTAATCATAAAACATCCAGGATAATGTACAGTCACCCCAAAATATCATCGCATCATGTTGTAGATGATAAACCAGGTGAAGACATTAAGAAACCACCATCAAGCCCTGGCCAACACCAACAAAAACCCAAACGAAATGTGTGCTTATGATTTTGTTCTTTAAAACATATGCTGTCAGGTTTGATATTTTGCATCTATCTAACAAAATGAAATACTTTTGGGTGACTATGCATGTGGGAAAAAAATGGAAAGTTTCTGTTAGCCATTATCATGAACTGAAACCCTGAAAAAGAATGGCTTTGCCTTCTATGAAATGAGCAGGGTCTGTTGTAGAAACAGTCACAAACATGAAGTGATTGTATATTGGCTTTCTTTGTTTCTTTGTCCTAAAATCCCTCAAAAGAGGTTAGTGAGTGCATCTGGCACGCTGTTCTGGCCGCTTGCCACAACTCACACAAATCTGTTGCAGCTGAGCTGCAAATTCAGATGGAGTCGCCCAGCGAGACCATGAAGCTCAGTGGAAGGTGAAGGAATGGAAGTGAATCACACCTGACACAACAGCACTTATAAAGACACGCCTTCACCTATAGCTTGGAGAAACATCACACATGTTCACTTTACCAGACCAAACATGCATTTGAAGAGCCTCAAACTGCTCTTTGTACAGCCTGTCTCGATGCTTGAAACATCAAACATTATGAACATCTGTGATGATAAAGCTTTAGATTACATGGTGTTTGCCAAGTCAAGCATTAGTATTACCTTTGAGCATCTTAAAATCTACTGTTTTAAATTATTCTAAAACTATAAAACTTAGCAGAGCCTGTCTGACACTGCTGTACTCTGCAGAGGTGAACTGTGGCGAGGGGGTGCTTTAGAGCGACAGCTGCCCCTGATATTCCCTGATATTATTACATTTTATTGAATGTCTGACGGTGTTGACAAAAAGTGGGGACGCAACTTTAAAATCTTATGAAACATGCATGTGTCATTAAAAAACATCCTTGCTTTGATAGGAGATATTATTAAGTGTTGCTTTTGATAAAACAAGCTATTTTTCATCATTAAAAAAACATTGTTATCCATTTTATTGCATATGAATGCTTGAACCCTTCTCTGTGGACACTGTTTTAGATGTAGTGAGAGGACAATAAGAAACATAGATTTGGTATAATAATGAGAAAATTAAATTGAAGGTGATAATTGTGTTAAATACATTCTATTGTTAATCCCTCATGACATTTAAATTTTAAAATATTGTTATTTTTTAAAGCTAATAGCAGTTACCCTTGCTGGACCTGTTTTGTCCCACGTCTCAAGAATGACTGCTTAGTGATTTGAACCTTAACCCTCAAGTTACGGCCATATTTACCATTGCTCTGCAAAATTTTGTGGGCGAAATCCAGTCATTCCTATAGACCTTGTGCACCAGAGAGACATATTTTGCTTTCCATATATTTCATTCCAAGAAAATACACTCACATCAGGGTTATTATAGTTGACTAAAACTAAAACCACAGAAATGTTAAAAGTTACTTGAAATAAATGTTAGCTGAAAATTAAAAACAAAAAAACGTATTTTATTTTAATTTAGTTTAACAAAAACTATAATAGTATTTTGATGCCAAGACAACGCTGAATATGTCACATTTGAAGAAAAACTATTGTCTATCACGTGTGAATATATAAATGTATATTTTTGGTATTAAGGTTGAAACTAAATATATTTTAAATTTCAAAAATATATTATATTCACATATAAAATACATTTTTGCCAAAATATTTCTTTCTTTCATTCCTTATATGGAATTTGGTCACACAAATACGCCAAGCCGACCAACAGACAGACATCTTGGTTTGAAAGTCACTTCACTTCAGTGTGAGCAGACTGCGAAATTTAGCTAAAATGAGACAGAATATAGTAGATTTTATGGACTTTTTTGACACGTACAATTAAACAAATACTTAGCAACCACCCAGAACACTCCAGCAACTGCCTGACAACATAAATAACCCCTTAGCATTGAGGCCAGTGTTGCCAAGTCTGCTGTTTTCCCACGAAATTGGGCTACTTTAACACTGTTGCCACGTGTTGAAGCGACCCCAATAACGTGATATTTAGCACCTGGGGCCAGGTGCATAAACATAGTCACCACGTTAAAACTGTGTCTTAAGCATCAATGAATGCGGGTGAGGAATCCCCAAATGTGATTAAACATGGATCGGATCAGCCAGCAGCTAACATCGCTACTAACAGGCGCTCGAGGTCGAGCAGACAGCGGCGTTCAGCTCAGAGCGCAGCCGAGCCCAGGACTCTGATAGTGGGCGACTCCATTATCAGAAACATCAGTAGCAGAAATTCAACAGCATGCTGCTTTCCTCAAGCAACAGTTTCTGATTTAAACAAGGAACTTTGGAAAATTCTGATGAAGCACAAGACTGCAAATCGAATCATCATCCATGTGGGGAAGAATGATATTCGGAAAGAGCAGTCAGAACTCCTTAAGAAGGACTTCAGTGAACTCTTTGAAACACTTCGAAGACTTAAAGTTCAGTCGTTCATCAGTGGACCACTCCCAGCAAGGGGAACTAATATGTTTTCACGTTTGCTTGGGCTGAACACATGGCTACAAAGAATCTGCAGCTCAAAAGGAGTCAATTTCATCGACAACTTCAATCTTTTTTGGGGCCATAGACAGCTGTTTAAACTGGATGGCCTCCACCTAAACAAACTTGGTGCAAGAGTGCTAAAAGACAACATCTTTTGCTTCCTCCGTCATCCTTCAGTAGTGTGTGCCAAACTACTCAACCTCAATGGCACACACACACCTGGACAGAGTATGAGTGACCACAGGACTTCATATCAGCTTCCGAGTCATCATGTGGTTGACACACCCCACAAGGACACTGATAACACCACGCGAACCCTGCCAAAAACGTTGGTTTTTACCCCCCGAACGCGATTGGGCTAGTTTTGAGTAGCAATTGGGAGGGGTTTTCTTGTGAAAACCTGGCAACCCTGGTTAGAACTGTTATTTGAAAATGTTAAAATTTTCTGTAAGTAATAAGTTGCTTAACCTTAATTTAAACAGGCTAACAAGTCACAGAGCTTCAAGCACCTTATCGCTTTTAGAACATTTTTACCGCGCAATCAAAAAAATGTAATCTTATTTTATTGATCAAATTCATGAAGTCTGGTTCTTTCACTAAAAGATCTAATAGTGAGATCTGCTCCAGTCAGCTGATTGTTTGTAAATGCATTTTTTTTTTTACTTATACTGACTTCAGAATACAAATAACCAAGCTTTATTTTTTGTTTGCCTCCCTCTGCTGGCTGCAGTGTGTCATTTCATACTATAACATGCTAAGACATACACAAAGCAAAATAATTTAAACCAGACCACTTTGCTTTTGCAAAGACACAAGACAGGTACATTAACCCCGGTATGAATGTACAGTAATGTATTTATTGACAAGTTGTTACAACTAAAAAATGTGAGCTTCCAGCGATTTTTAAACAGAAATAAGAGTCTACATTATTGTGCAAAAACAAAAATAACAAATACAGCAGCTTTTCCTACAGCAAAGCCGATTCTAAAATCTGAGGACACAATGAACAACAACAACAACAATAATAATACGAAGCACTGTTTACAATCATTCCCACGTGCTGCTCGAGCTCACAGAAGTTTAATACTGTACGAAAATGTGTTCAAGAGATGTTTGTAATTTCAGACATAACACCACCGACGGACAGTCCAGCATCCTTCATTTGATTGTCAGTAGGTTTGCAGTGCGCTTTTGTAATACACAAAACCTCTATGAAGGGACACATGCATCCTAGACTGCTGAAGAAATACATTTTTCTCTGATTTATGGCATGGACTCTTGATGAAATGCATTTTTTATTGAGGATGTCCGTGTATCTGGATCCCTTCAGTGTTTCCATCTCCACCAGAGCTTGACTTTTCATTTCACCGGCAACCCTGCTGTTCGTCCTTGACACGTCGACTGTGAAAGCGGTCACGTCTCTGTTTTCTCTCGAGATGTGTGTACAGTCTTCACCACCTTGGCGGAGCTTTTTGCGTCCTGCTCGGAGCTCTCTGAGAGAGTGTCTTTGGAGCCTTTCTTCTTCTGAAAGGAACAAAAATAGGCACACACATTACAGTGTGCAAACACCAGATGTTGATTAAATAACTAAACTGTCAAAATATCCAAGTTAATCAAAGTATCATAACTGGAGGGAAAATGACAAACCGAGTCTTGCTTAAACCAACTGAAATCAGATGAATATCTGACTCTAAAGGTTAATATTTTACTAAGCAATGAAACTGTGCACTAGTTACTGGAATATTTCATTTAATTTGCTGAACATTTAGTCATCCTCAGGCCATCCAAGATCAGGATGAGTGTTTCTTCATCAGATTTGGAGAAATGTAGCATTGCATCAGTGTCTCAGCAATGGATGCTCTGCAGTGAATGGGTGCCGTCAGAACGAGAGTCCAAACAGCTGAAATAAACATCACAATAATCCACAGCACTCCAGTCCATCAGTTAACATCTGGAGAAGACAAAAGCTGAAACATATCCAGCATTAAGATGTTTTTAACTAAATTATGAGTCCATAATTCATAATAACGCTTCCTCCAGTGAAAAAGTCAAAATCCTGCCACATATTTGTTTAGAGCTGTTTAAACGGTGCTTGATCTGTGCAGATTTCTCTCCTGATTCACACCAGAACACTGACTCACTGGAGGAAGAGTTAGTATCCAGAAGCAACGGCTTGAAGTTAAAAACATCTTAATACTGGATTTGTTTAATCTTTTGTCTTCAGATGTTAACTGATGGACTGGAGTGCTGTGGATTATTGTGATGTTTTTAATCAGCTCTCATTCTGACGGCACCCATTCACTGCAGAGCATCCATTGCTGAGACACTGATGCAATGCTACATTTCTCCAAATCTGACGAAGAAACAAACT